CAGAGAAGGCTCAATGTCCTAGAAAAAAAATACAGTTCCCATGACTCCCTAGCACTGAGCCAGGGCAGTGCCTCAATTTAATGTGCACTATTTCTGGCAGTCTGCTTTAGTTTCATCAACAAAGTAATTAAAATATTATATATAAAATTACTTTCAAGCTATGTGTATAAGGTGTATATGAAACATAAATGAATTTCATGTTTAGACTTGGGTCCCATCCCGTCCCATTATGTATTTGCAAATATTTCTAAAATTCTCCAAAATCCCAAACACTTCTAGTCCCAAGTGTTCCGGATAAGGGAGAATCAACCTGTACTCAGAGATGTCTGCATGTAACTACTGAAGTTCTACAAGATTGTGAGAATAAAGGCAATAAAGAGGGATGAACAACAGCTTCCTTTGTTTGTCTTTTGTTTTTATGCAAGTTTCTAGATCTCATGTCAGAGAAGATGTTCCTGAAAGTCTAAGGCCAATGTTAGAAACCAGAAAGGTGCGTATAGTTACCTCTCTGTTTTTGTGGACTTCTAGTCCATGGTCTCGGTCCTTCATTGGTTAAAATGGGGCTTGAATATCTGCAATTTTCTATTTTCAGTGTGTCAGTGTCCGGAATGGATCCCACATGACCCATGGATTTACTTTGACCCATGGATAAGTCGACTTAGGTTTTCTTGGTCAATATTTTGACTAAAATTCCTAGACTTATACACGAGTATATACAGTACTTACCCTGCCCTGGAGGGGTTACATATGTTCTCCGAGGGTTGCTCAGGACCTCTCCATCGCGCACGATCCCGACTCCAATCTTGTTGGCACTGCCCTCAAAGCCGATCACCACAGGCATCGCCTCTTTGAATGGCAGAGAGATTTCTGGCTTGATTCTTTCAAGAAAACAAGATGGTATTTAGCTTCCCACCACATAAAGGGAAGGGAGTTCTTATGGGTTACTGCTAAGGTAAGAAAGAGATCAGAGTTTCCCACCCATCTTGTAGGGGATCCAATTTGGCATAGTGAGGCAAAAAAGGAGAGGGAGAATTCCTGAGCTCTGGTCCAGTATGCTTGCAATATCCCTGCATCATCCAATATGTTTGCAATATGCTTGCAATTGGATGAGTCACACACTCTCAGCCCTAGAAAACCTTGCAATAGGCTTGCCTTAGGGTCACCATAAGTTGGAAACTACTTCAAGTCTCACAACAAGGGCAACAAGGGATGTATCCACAGTACAGAAATAAAGCAGTTTGACTTCACTTTACCATTCATGGCTCCATCCTGTAGAATCTTGGGATTTGTAGTTTGGTGAGGTTTTCAACCTGGTTTGTCAACAGACGTCTGGTGTCTCATTAAAATACAAATCCAAAAATTCTGCAGGACAGAGTCATGGCAGTTACAGCCCTGTCAAGCTGCATTATTTTTGCCATGTGGATACACCCAATCCTTGCAAAATGAAATACCCAATATTCTTGCAATATGCAGGGTGACCAATGTCATAACCACAAAGTAGGAGAAGGCACTGTAAAATGCAAAGCATTCAAGAAAAATGTAGGACAGCACAACATAAAAGTTAAAAACACTAATATAGATATAAATGTGTGCTTCTTTGTCATGCTCAAAATGGAAGACATTATGGAATTCCTCCTGGACAGACGGTAGGACAAAGAGGAAGTCTGGTCACCCTTTACAAAATGCAATATCCAATATGTTTGCAATATCCATATGCTTGGAACAGGGGTAGGCAACCTAAGGCCCGGGGGCCAGATGCGGCCCCCGAGAACTTTGGATCAGCCCCAGGCCGGTCCTGCCGCCGCCTGCCATGATGATATTGATTATTGTTGTTATTACTTGTTCTTGGGGTTTTCTTGGCAAAATCTCCACAGGGGTTTTGCCATGGCTTTTCTGGGGCTGAGAGAGTGTGCATGCATTTTAAAAAAATTTTAAATTTTTTATTTATTTATTTATGGTGCTTCGGGCCCCCCCAATTGTCTGAGGGACAGCAACCCGGCCCCCGGCTCAAAAAAGTTGCCAACCCCTGGCTTAGAATATCCATTATGCTTACAAAAAAATCATTATCCAATATATTTGCAATATCCAATATGCTTACAAAATGGAATATCCAATATGTTTGAAATATCCAA